AAACAAGCAATTACAGAAAGAATTTAAAAACAATCAACAGCCACACAATTCGAGCGGGGACGGGAACTCGTCAGCCCCAGGCTTGTTAAGAGGGTACGTGGTATCCATTGGCTAGGTTGATTGTCAGTAAGTATGTGAAACCAAATTAAATACTAGGAAGGGAAAAGGAATAAATATTATTGTGACACGTCCTGTAGTGGAGGGTAGAAATATCCACCAGATTGGATATTTCTAAATCAGAAATCCACAGATCAAAGGTCACAGCACACAGGTTTTGACACAGGTCAAAAGTGGAGATAAACTTTTTTCCCTTGAGTTTGACAAAATCTACATGACCTTGTCAATTACTGTGTTTTCTGAATTGGACTCAAACAAAACCCCTATTAAGTAGGGGTGATCACAGAGATGGGTGAAGTTGGTGCATCTCCTGAAGCTTTGCCCTACAACTCCCATCTTCCCAACCAACAAGACCAGAAAATCCTGCTTCATTTCTTTCAACATCTCAACACTAGGCGGTCTTCATTTCACACCACTTGGAGGACACAAGTTAAGACAAAAGCCATGGAGATGATTGCACCTGGGGTGTTCCATATATATAAAACTCTATTAAGTTTCTTTGGGGGGAACGCTGAGATACAGATGTGATAACTAAAACATGTTTAGAAGCTGGAGAACTAATGGAATCTGGATTCACAGGTGGCATGCCGAGCCATTTGTCAGGGAAGCCTCCTGAAGGTTCTGGAAGATTCCGGAAGACTAAAAATGGCCCTACGGACAAACCGGAAGTGACTCTGGTTTGCTCGTAGGGTCGTTTTTTTGCCCTCTGGAGCTCCTGAATCCTCCAGAGGGCCTCTGGGGAGGGGAGGCTGTTTTCGCCCTCCCCAGACTCCTATAAAGACTCTGGAGCCTGGGGAGGGCGAAAAAAGCACGCCAAAAAGGGGGCAGCACTGGTCATGCGTGCATGCACGCTGGGGTTGTGCACATTGCATTATGGGTGTGGCACATCCGTGCACAGAGCCCATGCGCTCCTCCCGCTTTTGGCACAAGAGCCAAAAAAGGTTCACCATCACTGATCTAGGCCAATGTGAATAGAAACCCCTAATGGAGAACCATATCTATGTCTCTTCTTAGAAACATACCCTCAGCTTTGATTTTTGGGGGCTTGTAAGTAGCAAGAGAAAAATTTGGGAGTATTTTGAGTGATAGAAGCAGATCACAGACTTGTTTGAGTCAAGGGGCAACATATTAGTGTCCTTTCCATGCCTTTGTTCCCATAACCAGTTCTCTGTATGTTTGTCCTGTCCCCCCTGCTTTTTAACATCTACATGAAACCGCTGGGCGAGATCATCTGGCGGCACGGGATAAAATACCACCAGTATGCGGATGATACCCAGTTGTATCTGTCC